CATTGAATCGTTAAATTTTTGAAAAAAATTGTCTCACAAGTGAACTGCCAAACAGACAAGTTTCAGATTACTCAAAAATAGTTAGTAACCAAATATGGAAATATATCGCAAATATACCCCTAGTTTGCACGCAACAAATGACAAAACTTCATATAAAAGACGGATAAATAAATTTACTTCATTGTTGTATGTTTTTTATTTTAAGTATTTTCAACGCCAATTAATGCAGTGTTCAATCAAGAAATATTGTCGGTTTCAGACCGTCTAACTGTAAATACAAAGTTATTATTGATAAACAATGTTTTACAATTGTATACGTATATTAAACAACACATTTGATAAGAGGAACTTTGGCTTCATCTAGTTTTTAATAAAATATCTTGATCGCCTCACTCTAAAAGGATCCAATCTTCCATTTCAAACTTCAGACATTATTTAAAAAAAAAATATTTTAACGTAATTAAAGCTCAATTTAAACTCAAACTTTTATTTGTTTAATGGTAATTTTTGAAGTCAGTTTGCCTTCCTCTCCAACCAATTTTAAAAGGTTCCGAAGGATTAATTGCACAAAAAATACGTTTGTCAACGATTAACGCAACTTATTGCAACAATGTAATGTAATTCAATAAATTAAATTTTGAAAAATTCGGCGATTCATTTGAATCGAACTTGCAGAAGTTGACTTAAGAAATTTTGAAAATGTGACAAAAGTCGCCTATTTTATTCAGAAAAAAACAACAATTCTCTAACTTGAAGGGGTATTTACTAAATAATTTTATAAACAATTCTTTAAAACTAGTTAGTTTTCTGGGCTTTTAGGCCACCCTGAAAAATAATTTCGACCGAAAAAGAATTTTCACAACCTAAAAGCCCGAAAAAAACACAACAGCAATGTCCACGAAATAATTCTTCTATTAGTTTTTAAGATTTTAAAAGTCGATAAAATATCTTAAACTGTGTAACATTTTTCATCGACTTTAATCGCCTGAAAGCCCGGAAAACTCACCATTTTAAATCAATGGTCGCTTAAGAATTATTCTTTTAATAAGCCTTTAAATGTCGATAAAATATCTTAAACTGTGTAACATTTTTCGACTAAGAGCCGGAAAAACTCACTAGTCTCAAACAATGACCGCGAAAGTATTATTCTTTTCGTAAGTCGATAAAAAATGCCAAAGAAATTTTCGAAAACTGAAATTAAAAACCGCTAAAAATTGAACTGTTGAAATCAAACTTTACCAACATCATTTAACAAAAGTGTCTCTATCCAATGGGGCAAAAATGCAATTATTTCTTTTCAATTATTTCTGTCAAATTAATTAGAAGGTTGGATTAAGAGATTATTTTGCAAAAAAATATACAATTGAAATAGATTTCTTCAAAATTTCGAAAGCTTTTCAAAGACGAAATCGTTCTGGTTCACGTTTATAAAGTTGGAAATCGCGCTTAAATTCAGCGAGTTTTGAGTAAACGACTATATTGAATTGCACAGTTTTAAAAACTTCTGTATAATTCCAACTGTGGTTCAGTTAGATTGAGAAACTCCGCAAATTTTAAAGAAACATTTGAAAGGCTGAATACAAAATTTCGAAAATTGCTAAAAAAGGCAACTTAAAAAAATAAAAAACTTTTCACTAATCAGTTTCTAAAACGTCTCTTAAGGCAATTGAAATGCAATTATTGGAAAATCGCTTAAAGCTCCATCCATACCTATGCATCTTTTGAAAAGAATACGCAGCAAAGTTTCTTCTAACTAAAACTTCATCTTCTCAGACTCCGATATAAAGATTGAAGTTTCCCCAAAGACCCGCGCTTTAATAATTCATTTTAGAAATATTATTTCTTGATGAAAAACTCAAAAAGGACAATTTTCGATAATTTCATAACAACATTTTTACTGCGACACTGTGCAAAAAGTGACCTAAACATCCAGAAATTACCGGTAGATTTTTGGAAAACTCCAAAATTTACTCTGAAACGAAATCGAGTTGTAACTTTCGATGAAAAATAATTTAAATTTCCTCCGTCTCCCTGATTCAACAGTACAAAAGCAATAATCCAGTTTTTTTAGTAACTGTCTTAAGATTTCATTTACGTAAACTTTTTATTAATAAAAATACCTAAGAAATAAGAAAACAGCAAGCGCTAACAAACACTCTTAAGAGAAGAAGCTTTGAAAAGCTTTTGTTATACCAAACGGAAATTCCGCCTTTCACATCATTAATTATTTAGCAAATCCTTTAATAAAAGAATAATGTAGATGTATATTTCAATTGATTTTGAACACCGATCAAACCCCGACATGAAAAACGTGGAAACTTCCATTTTATCGTACAAATTCAATCATCTTTTAAAGGTTTCCCCCATTGTAGCAGCCAAACACATCTGCCTGCCCTCACACTTTTCAGCCTCTTTTAACTGGTTTCAACACCAATGGTCCGATTTAAAAAAAAAAGCATTTATAAACTAATTCCGCGAGTTAAAAGAGCGTCTATTTTGCGCGATTTCACGCAACTTGAGGCCGGCCCTGTTTCATCAATTCTTCTCGTTCGTATATATAAATACTATAAGGGTTGTGTCTTATCACTTGTGTTGTGTCAAGTCCTCAATCAAGATGGTAAGTGAACACCAAAAACCAAGCACTAAGTTACTAATGAATCCGCATTTTAGTTAACTGATCAAATGATCTTTAAAGTTTTGTTAAAAGTTTCAAAAAATTGATTGTTGAGTGAGAGTTTAGTTTTGACTATACATAATTAATTCCTAATAAAGTTGGAAGCTAAAACAAAAAGATTAAGCTGAAAGCGACAAGAAAGTCAAACAAGCTAAATGTTATCCTAGCGCATAAATTATAACTGTGTTAGATTTCTTGGTATATCTATTTTATTTCTTCATTAAACGCGAAGGACGCAGTTATTGATGTGCTTCTAAATTTAAAATTCTAACTGAAAATGTCGCGTTGTCAGGAATAAATATATTTCTACTAGACAGTTATTGGGTTTAATGAGCAACAAATTATGCAGTTCTGAATTTCATTCTCATTTTTCAAAAGCTTTTATAACTAAATTGTAATTCAGCAGTTTCATCATCAATGGTGGGCACTGGATGGATTTTTTAAAGTTTAAAACTTTTTATTTTATTATCGTAACTTTAAAACATACGAAAACAAGAAAAAGCGTCTGACTAGCCAGTGGGTATAACAAAATAATATTTAGTGCACGGAAGTAAACGCATAAATAAAAGCGACTAAAGTAAAACGCAAACATTTTGACATCGGAAAAACCACAAGGTTTTAAAATTTAAAACAGAACGACAGTAAAACTGAAACAAAAAATATTGCCTAGAATTCAATTTCTTTTTCAAATTTGGATTGAGTTTCTTTTTGAAAACTCCATCTGGAAACTCTCATGCATGGTTCGATCATTTACTTATTAGCTGATTTTATCAATATTCCAATTAAAAACTTTGTTCATCAATTGCTTTTAAAATGGTTATTTTTATTAATAATTTTTCTTTGGAACATTGCATGGAATAACACGTGTTGTCCTCAAAAGGCAACATTCAATCGGCTTTTCGAAGCATCAAAGAAAGTTGGAAGCCCAGATAAATAACACTAATAAGGCCATCAAGAAATGAGTCACAAAGGTTTCGCGCTGACATCGCAAATATTAGAAAATCTGCAGCTTTTTTCCAACCTACTTTATAACAGAGAGCGTATCGCAAGCAATTTCAGCAGCAGGATTAACCCTATTAATTTATGAATTATCAATGACGACAAAAAAAACATAAATTATAATTAATATAAAAAGATAGGTCTTAAATAATGAGACAACCTTTGACATCGTATTACCGCAAACAATGGCTCTTGTTGTGTGAAATTGCATTATTGCGCAATGAAATGAATTACAGGCTTTCTTTGCGAAGGACGCAAAGCGTTTCATCCATATCGAGAGCAATTAGTACATTTCTTTGAAGTTATATTTTCAAAAAAAGAAAAAGTTTTGCCACTAAAAGCTTTCGGCTGTTAAAAGGCAGTTTCAATTAAAATAACACTTCTTCTGCATTCTTAATTAGGGCAGGTCTGTATAATATTCAACCTTGTTTGAGATTCGTCCACTTTGAAGGGCTAAAGTACGAACAAATGAAAATTTAGGAACAGTAACAACAAAATTTGTTGTCGATTCTAGACGGAAATATTATTTACGACTACAAATAATTCTTTTTGAAATTATTCGTTACTCACGCTTATTTGAACATGCAATACAGCAAACAAGAACAATGAGATTTTCGGGCTTTTAGGTCGTCGTGGAAAGGAATTTCTTTTTGATGTCTCGCAAACAACAGTGGCTTATATCTTAACAAATTATTTTCCACAACGGACTAGAAGCCCGAAAACCCCCTCACAAACTGTTGCGTTTTTGGGCTTTTAGATGGAAAATATGTTTTCCTAAAACGTCCTAAAAGCTAACAGATTTTATATGTAATTAAAAATGTGTTAGTTCCTTATTTTATTTTTTATTTTTTGTTTAATTGCAATTTTTTTAGTTTTAATGAGAAAGTTATAAAATATTATTGGTATATTAATAATATTTCTTTATTAACATTTTAATGCTGTTCATCACTTTCTCAATTTATCTGCAAGCTTGTCAATTGGGGTTTACTATCGCAATAAATTAATGAAATCCATCAATTGGATTGGTCGAATTGGGTAAAGCTAATTAAGCTAATTGGTGGCGACTTTATTATTGATTTAAGTTTCAACTTTAATTAATTAAATTATTTCCTGTTAACTATTTGGCCCTTTTTTCAAAACTACTACTTTTATCTGGAATCGGCTAAATTCCCTGAATTGAATCAAGAAGCTGACAATGTAATTGTTTTATTTCTTTTTATGGCTTCGAGTGGAAAAAAAGAAACACTTTGATGCAAATATTTTGAGAAAAGTTTGGGGCATATGAAAGTCAGTATAAAATATTACAATCAAATTAAATACTACTTACGAAATTGGTTATCTCGCCTGTATCGTGGCTAGATCGCCTGTATCGTAGCACTTGTTGCTTGTAATACTGGAGAATTTGCCAAGTTACCTGGACATAGAAAAAAAATAGCCATATAATAAACCATACCACCACCACCACATATAAATGTACGATTTTATTATCTAAAGTACTTTTAGATAGGAACTTTAAAACATGCCTTGAAGACAATTATTCCTAAACGTATCTTATCGAAAATAGTTTTTCAAAAATGTGATACAATGGTACTATTGTACTTTTGCATTTTCGAAATGTTGCCATCAAAGCTCTAAAATAAACTAATTCACTCAACCTGAGAAAAAGCGAAACTCTGCTAAACCCTAATGTATCTTACAATTAAATCAGATAGAAGAAACGTACAGAAAGCTAAAACAGAATATTAAAAAAAACAATAAAAATAAATATTAATATTACCAAACAATAATAATATAATAATCAAAACTAACAGTTTCAATTCAATTCAAAGCAACAAATATTATTCGTGTCGCATTCTTAAGGAACTGTTTTCGAGATCAGATCAGTCGGCGTGGGATGGGGCCGATGGGGAGAAAATGGGTGCATTTGGAAATAAACATAATCCTTTGTTATCAAACTGACATACTTAATTTTCTTCATATTAATACTATTTTAATTTGTCTTAATGTTCACTTTCCACTTAACATATACACTTTCAGTCAATTGTTTTTCCACTTTGGAATAATAAAATAAAGACTGGTATCAGTAATATACATTGTAAAAGGCTCGCATTTCACGACATGTCTTTAAATATAAATGAAAAATAGGGAAATATGGATTTTAAAAAAATGTTTAACAGACTAACAATCGGTATTTCTCGAATGCTATGCAACCAGGAAGGAAAGTTTTTCCTGATATCGCTGAAACTTGATTGAACATTATTGGCGAAAAGAGCAGTCAAACTGAAACATCCGATGTTGAAAATCAGTGAGTTTTTTTCGATAAAAATAGCAAATATCCATCGGCGTTTCCATAACTCTGACTTCCTCCATCAGTGAGAATGGCGCCGTTCAATCAAGACTCAATGGACTTGAAAATTACCCTCACTTATATAAACTGGGCTGCTTTTTTCATTTTCTTTTCTGTACCAATTACAGAAAATGTCCCGCGTCCTAATTGGTGTGGCGCGTATTTTCATTTCGTTTTATCATCGATAGTTTTAGCTGCTGGTCGCCACTTGATGACCATAAATTGTAGGTTTTAACATTGTGGTAACTATAGAATTTCAGATATTTTGATTGAACATTCGCTGAAGAACCAATCGAAAACGCAACTAAACCGAACTGATTCCACATTAGGAAAAATATTGTAGTTGGAATTGATATTTATGACTGATAATGATAGAGGACCGGTGGAACTTTAATAAATGTTCTTAATGTAATTGAACTTTCGAACAAAAAATTGTTCACAATCACACCGCAATGAGCGCAGTGGTAACTTTTTTCTTGATTGTTAATTAATAAAATTTAATATCTCAAGAAACCGTAGCAAGAGGGGTCAGTCTGCTGGGCGATTTAAAGTCGCTACTTATTACTTCAAATTGATCCCGTTCTTCTCATATTTCCTCTAGCAACACTATTGTCAATTATATTATGGAGCAACAAAAAAAAAGCCAGTTTGAATCAGTTCAATTCCCATTCAGAATATCAAATTAAAAAATGTGATCTGTGAAACAATCATGTGATGTTCGTGTCAGCACATTGTTGGTCTGCCAGATGGTCATACCATTCCATTGATAGGCTCGAATTACTAATTGCATGGTGGGAACTGTAGTTGTGATTCAATCGACAACAATTAATTTATTAGGTTTCGCTCATTTCCTTGGCATGTTACTCGATAGTGCACTCCAGGCAGCACTTGATCAAAGCATCGCAATATACAGGGTGTTTGGAAGGTAACTAGATGGGAGATTTACTACCACAGAACACAGTGCACATAAAAAGTTAACTGGAAGTATTTTTTCTATAGGATGTATTTCTGTGTTTCACATTCAAAGGTTTCAAAAAAGTTATAGTAAAATGAGCTGAACCGCTGTAAAGTATGTTTCAAGTATCACCGCATTTTATTAGTCAAAATTACAGACGAATTGCAAAATTTACAGAAAGCACTCCGACCGTTTTCAGAAACTTTCCATATCTGTCACACATTTGTTGTTTAATTTAGTTCCATCTAGTTTTTTATTTATTTCCTGTCGTTTCTATTCATATTGTTTTCGAATTTAAACTTTTCTCTTATAAGGAGCGCCAATTTTACTTTTTAACTTTCAGCTTTTATTAGGCAAACTACCGAAAAATTGTCTGTGTTTGTGTTTGACCATTTTCAAATACTCTTTCTCAATTCAATCTGTCATCGAATATTTTCATCTCATACGTTTTCTTTGAATTGTTCATTTCACAAAAAGTGACTTTTGTTAATTGCTAGTTTTTTTACTTATTTACTGTCGTTTTCTCTTTGCTTTTGTGTTTAAACTTTGCCATAAAATATCGATTATTTTCATTTTTACTTGCCAGATTTTGTTAGGCAAACCACCGACAAATTGCAACATTTCCAGAAAACAATCTATGTTTGACCCTATTCAAATCCTCTTCAAAATCTGCCATCGAATCAACTGCGCCATAGTAAAGAGCGATTTCTTTAGTTTGTAACTACCAGCTTTCGAGTTTTACTTAATACTGTTTTCTTTTCTTTGTTGGTACGAAAATTTTACTGAAAATCATATTGAAATTATCAATGTATTCAAAGTTGCGATGTAATCAATTATTTAAAAAATGCAAGTAAAGTGGACCAGTAGAATAACCAAACGACTCGCGTTATCCCTGAATTATTTTTTAATCCGGTCTTCAGTGATTAAGTGAAGATTTCGTTGCATTTAGACCAGTACCAAGTGCCTTATTGAGTAGCAGAGTATCGGTTGATTGTCGGTATCGAATTTTTACGCCAGCTTCTTACAAAAATACAATTAGAAGCAAAACGTTATTACAAAATATTAATATGCTAGAACAATCTGGTGTAAGTAGAGGGAAATTTAATGATTCTTCAGTATTTGCGACCGTAGCGGACGAAACAACGGATGTTGCTGCAAAAGCTCAGATGGTCAGCCAATTAAACGTTTTTGAAGATCCTGATTTATTCAAAGATGTGATGCAAAAACTTTGATAAAGTAATAAATTAACCTTACAAAAATTGAACAAACTTGTGACGGTGCAGCGGTAATAAGAGCGGCCACTAAATTATGGTTGTAGCTAAAACATACAGATTGCACAATATATTTGCAACCTTAAGCTTAGGTCAGAGCTGGTAGAATTGACGTCGAAAAAACCAAATTTTATCACATAGGCCCAAATCCAGTATTTAACAAATTCAAAATAATAAAAATCACGGTGACGTAGGTGTTCCTCGAAAAAGATCAGCCATATGTTGACCTTTTCCGACTTGCAAAACGATAAAAACTGTTATGGTGTAGTTTTTTTCTTAAAATTCCAATCCAGGTTTGGTGCTCAAGTTAGTACATCGAACTGCGTAATTATCTAAAAATTGCGTCCAATCGAAAGTGCCTATGTAGAAATCCAGAAATATCTAAAGGAAATTTCAAGAATGATTGACTAATACCAAGTACCGAGTTGATAAAAAGAATATTTGAACAATAAATATTTGTTTAGGATATAGGCCATAGGGAGATTAGAATGACTACAAACCAGCCGATTATATATTTCTCTAACATTGATTGTTGAAAATATTTAATTTCAAGAGAATAGAATTTTAATACAAAAAATGTCTCCATTTTCCATATGGTCTGTTTTGTGTGTTTACTTTATAGCGGTTTCAATGCAAATAACACTAAGACTTTTTCGTACAACTTACTGAGCTTGTGGTTTCAATATTTTTTTATTTTTTGCCATTATTATTAGCAGATTCTATGAATATCTTCCAAGGTTTACGTAAAACATTAATTATCCTTCTGTTTATCTTAGCGATGTAAACTTAATGCTACTCGATTTATCATAAGGTAATGTTTAATTAATAAATTGGATGTACTTCTTCTTCACTCTTTTTCATTTCTTCACTTCTTTCATTCATGCAAAATTAACTGTTATTTTCTTTGATATTTCATGTTTAGTTCTCACAGTTAATCAGTCAATTTTATCTGGACATTTGACTTAAATATTTGAGAGAGTTGAATTATCGAAAAACTGCGTTAAGATGAAAAGTTTTGCTTTTATACGACGTTTTATTGCTGCATTTGTTCGTAGCAAGATTTAGGTGAAAAGTAGCTTGAGAGTTAACTTTTTAGTTTAATGATGCCTTAGGCTTTGAACCAACTAAACTTCCATGAAAATAGGTATTGAAGTACCAACCAATGCTTCGACATTTCCAATTTCCAATTATCTACATTCCTTTTAAATAAGTTGAAATTTCTGCAATTGTAGTGAAGAATTTTTAAAAGAAACTTTACAAACTTGTAGAAAATTAAGTCAACAAAAACACCTAAACCAGGGCGGCTAAAAACGGCCGAAAAACTTCCTCACTGACCAATAAGAAATATTATATTAGATGGAAGTCGATACAGAACACTATTTAGCCATTGAGGTTCTCCGAAGAAGATGAACAACATCATGATGTGAATTCTAAGGAAAATTATGAATGAAACACTCTATGAAAGAAATGACGTCAGCATATAGCAAAACAATGTAAGTCGCGTGCGTGGCATTCATAGAACAATTTTCTCCAAGCCATCTCCATCGACCTTCCAACTTAACAGTCCGAGTAAATATTATCGTATGGTTTACGCACATTCTGGAGGAGTGGCACATTGGGCGAGAATCACAACAAGTTCAAGGTTTTGGATTAATTCAATTTGGCTATCAAATAAATATCACCGTTTTCAGCTCGATTGGACGACTGCAAATCCTTCAGTCCCCAATTAGCTGAAACTGAGCAGAGCTCAATTATATTCACTTCAACTCCTAATACACGGTAGAACAAACATTGCTATTCGAGGTCCACTTTTACTGTACTTTGCACTCACTAAAAGCCAG